GGATTAGGGAGTCCCGGTTGACAACAAGTTAACCATGAGGCAGCAATGTGCCCTCGTGGCCAAGAAGGCCAATGGGATCCTGGCCTGCATGAGGAGGAGCGTTGCCAGCAGGTCAAGGCAGGTGATCCTACCCCTCTGCTCAGCTCTGGTGAGGCCACACATGGAGTATTGTGTGCAGTTCTGGGCTCCCCAGTACAAGGGGGAGGGACGTGGAGCTGCTAGAGAGGGTCCAGCGGAGAGCCATGAAGATGATTAAGGGACTGGAGCATCTATCTTAAGAGGAAAGACATAGTGAGCTGGATCTGTTTAGCCTAGAGAAAAGAAGACTGAGAGGAGATCCGATCAATATGTATAAGTACCTGAGGGGAGAATGTAGGGAGGATGGGGCCAAACTCTTCTCGGTGGTAGTCAGTGACAGGACAAGGGGTAAGGGATGCAAGTTGAAAACAGGAAGTTCCACCTCCATGTGAGGAAGAACTTCTTTCCTGTGAGGGTGACAGAGCCCTGGAACAGGCTGCCCAGAGAGGTTGTGGAGTCTCCTTCTCTAGAGATATTCCAAACTCCCCTGGACACCACCCTGTGCCTGGTGCTCTAGGTGTCCCTGCTGGAGCAGGGCGTTTGGACTAGATGATCTCTAGAGGTCCCTTCCAACCTCAACCATTCTGTGATTCTGTGAAAAGGTAGGCCTGTTGCTCAAGAGGACAGGGGTTGGGTTAACAAGGGTCATAGAAGACCTTGAAGTACTCAGTACCTTTTTTGCCTCAGTTCTCACCAGAAAACCTTGTCTTCAAGCTCCCCCTCAAGCTTACTAGCAGAATCTGTGGGAGCAAAGCCATACCCATAGGACAGGAATACAGAGTTCTCCTGACTTACCCCAGCCTGACATACACAAGAAGACAGAGGCTGGTTCTTTACAGCAATAGGATGAAAGGACACAGACACAAGTTGGAACATGGGAAATTCCAGTGAGATTTTAGGAAAGGAAAGATTCACCATGAGGGTAGTCTAATACTGAAACATGTTGTCCAGAGATGCTGTGAACTCATTCTTGAAGGTATTTAAGATTTGAACAGTCAAGTCGCTGAGAAACCTGATCTAATTAGACCTGCTGCCAGAAGGGAGTTGACTCCAGATGATGAGCTCCAGCAGCCTTGTCCAGTCTAAATTATTCTCTGAATCTCTAAACTTTGCCTCCTTTTATAACCTCATATAATGAATACCTCTGTCTCTAAGTCCTTTACGAAGCACCATGACAGAATGCAATAGGTAGCTAGAAAAACAAGACAGAGAAAGGCAGAGAATGAGTGAAGGTTCCCAGAAAGTATGCATTGGAACATCAACCCACTCGTGGCATGCATCAGAATTTCTTCATATCACGTGTTTCAGGTTGCAGCATTTTCAAGACAAATTTTGCAGACCATCCAATATAATGGATTTCAAGCTACAATTTTTGAGATAAAAGTTTAAATAACTACCTATTAATTATGCAGTTAGCCATCCTTAAATAATTGAGAAGACTTAAATGTATTTTTGCATGTAACTAACTAAAATGGAGAGTCAATCTATGAATGCTTCCTACTTACAACTGTAAAATGCACATAAACCACAGTATATATTTTGTAAACAAGCATCAATAATACAGTTAATGTATTCATCTATGAATGTTTCCTACTTACAACTGTGAAATGCACATAAGCAAGCATCAATAATACAGTTAATGTATTTTTATAAAATTAAAATGTTTTTTCTTGCTAATGAAACATGGTTGATTATATAGTTTTAAATAAATCGCAGAATTGACAGTAAAAGAAAGAAGTCAGTAATCTAAGTAGTTTAGTGGATCTTTAACTGTCCAGTTAAAGTCTTTCTAAGTGGAAAGTAAAATGCCTTTGGTTTTACTGTTTTGTTATTTCCAGATGTCTAATACACTGCAATGCCACGTCAGTAGTACTCGGGCCATGGAAACCATGGTGTCACCTATTTATATTACTGTAGCATCATAAACTGGGTCAAAACATTTGAGTTCATCGGACTGAGATTTACGAATTAAAGACATGCTCTTGGAAAAAAGAAAACAAAAGAAAGACATGCAGTTTCTTAACATTAGAGATTACATGTCCTTTAAAGACAAATTTTCAGTCTGAGCTATCATTCCTGGAATAGATATTAAGTGTAGTTTTAACCAAGCTACTTTTATTTGGAATATTCAGTCAGTTTCTGTAAATAAGTTACACCCTACATGTTACTCTTTATTCAGTTGAAGAAGTAAGCCTGTATAAAACAAATAGCTTCTTATTAGATCTAAGCATATTATCACAAAATCCTATGTATGTTTTGGAAGCATGTGCTGTACCTGTTAAACACAAGCCCTTGCAAACAGTTTAATGCCTTTGAATATTCTGTTTGCTTAACAAAAAGAATTATTTGTTTCACAGTTGTCTTAGCAGAAATAGAATGAACCCTTGAAGACAATAACCATCCATCACACGGAAAACATCCTATTCTCATTGCTCTATTTCAGATTAAATCTGTCTCCAAATTAAAATGTTTACACCAGGCAATCTGCCAGCTAATTTGTAGTGTTCTGCTATTCCCTGCATGCAGTCAAATTTAAAACAAAACCAGATTATACCAACATGCATGTTTCAACATACTCAAGCAGTGACAGACTATGAGATTCCCATGCTCAAAAACTTCTTATAGAAACCTTATTCAAATTCTCGTACTTGCTAGCTCCAGGAAAAGAGATAAAATAATTAAATACTACAGATTGTTCCTGAATGACTTATAGATGTCATAGAAGCACTAAGTGTGATAATGACAGGTAGATAAAATGGCAATACAGGAGGAGAAATAAGTAACAATATTTTCACATATTGTTTCTAATCTGACAAAGAAATAATCATTGTCCTTCTTTTGTTTAAAAACAGCATCTCGAAAAATCATACCTGAATGATTTAAAGGAGTTAAAAACTGAGTTACATTTGCAGTTTGGATTTTAACCTGTTTGCACTTAATTGCAGATTCAAATCTCACAGAACGTTTAAGATACAAGTTGAGACTGAGGCAAAATGGATGCATTTGAGCTACAAAGCAACTGATGAACACAGTGTCTACCTGTGACCTTGTTATTAGTCCTTAATGGCATTAAAGCATATTTATAAGGGGTAATGGGTATAAACTAAAACACAGGAAGTTCCATCTCCATGTGAGGAAGAACTTCTTTCCTGTGAGGGTGACAGAGCCCTGGAACAGGCTGCCCAGAGAGGCTGGGGAGTTTCCTTCTCTGGAGATCTTTCAAACCTGCCTGGATGCCACCCTGTGCCCCATGCTCTCTGATTCTGTATCCAATTCAAAAGAGTCTAAGCAAATAGTCTTGGAGAGTCTTGGAAGTTTTCATCTTCTAAGGAACAATAAATATTACCCTGGCCCCCATATACGAGTATCTAGAATTCAATTCATTCCTTGTGCAAGTTTACTCTTTTGACTTGGATTCAAGATCCAATGTCTATTTGCAAGAATTGATTTTTCAAGCTTTTAAGCCCTTCTCCTCTGTGACTTGTTAGTGCCAGATAATCTAATCAATAAAAGAGAAATTAAAACTGATGGCTAAACATGTAAGATCTGCCAGCACACCATTTACCCCCTTCATTTTTAAGCAGGGATTCCAATAAGCTCAAGAGGACCCTGAGAGTGTGAGCAGTCTCCAGCTCTATGCTCAGCATCCAGATTCCTCATGCAGACTCTTGGGCTCACAGGTCTGAACCTGGCTGTCTGAGCACAGGGCCCACCAGCAAGGATTGAGGCTTTCATCATTACCATTACATTTCTGTCAAATCTAGACACTTGTACTTCTCACTACAAGGGGCTCCTTCTGACATAATGGCCCTAATACAGTCACCATATCCAGACTCACAGGCAAAGTTAACAGTCTTTCAAAAGCCACATTATTGTTCTAATGCTGTTAGGCTTAATGCAGAAGCTCCTTCATTTTAGTACCTACCCTTACCAGGCTGCTGGGTCCATGCTGCTCTTAGAAAGGTGTTGCACTCTTAAAATGCCTGGAGAAAGGAGACACAAAGAGGGTGTACCTGCCCTCCTGAAGTTTTATATATCTTTAGAAAGAAGCACTAAAACATAGTAATTCTGAGCTGATAATGATTTATGCTTACTAATCTAATGCTTATATAAAGTCTGAGGCAATGAAAAGGAAATCCACAGAGTTTTAAACACATTTAATTCCCCATTACTACAGAGTAAATCCATGGAAACTGGAGCAAAGAAGAGAAATAGCATGAATAACTCCTACAGAAGGCAGTTTCAGTCCAGAAACACTACTGTACTCACCACATTCACATTTTTATTGGTGTTATCCCACATTTATTGAGAAAAAATCAAACAATTTGCAATGCTTAATTTAAAATGGATTTGTCTATGTTCATTTCTACATGAACATTCAAAAAGTGAATGGCAATCAGGATAAAGAACACGAGATCAGGCAGGCCCATATTTCCAAAAATTAGAATTCCGAAGGTTATATGAAATGTTTACACATTTTTTTGAAAATGTGTTCCTTTTTAGTGAACTGTGTAAAAGACAAATCAAAATGGTAAAGCAAAAAAAAGAAACAAAAAGAAAAAAGATTATAAAACACATTTGTTGTGGAATCTTAGTACAAAATAGTCCAAGTTCTTGTATGTAAGTGTGCACCATGTTAAAATTCAGGCCCTGAGAATATTCAGAACCTTACACGTGCTGACATAAGTCAGTGTGTCTAGACTGAGGAGTATAGAAAAAGTATATTCTTTCATTCATAAAATTAAGGTGAAGAATAGTTATTTAGGCACAATATAATGACAGAATTAGCAGATGTATAATTTTTTTTTAATTCCTGCAATTTCTTGGCAATTCAGATATGCAGACAGCATAGAGAAAATGTGTTCAAAGTCAGCATTACTCATATTTTTTAATGTGAAATCAAGTGTTGTTTTTGTTACACTTTTTCCAAGGGCTCTTAGAATAAGAAGCAGCTGAATAAAAGCTGACAAACACTCTAAGCTTCATCATTATTCCCAAACTCTGTTCTTATGCTCTTCTCATTCAAGTGGGAACACTATATACAACCTATGCTGACATGTCATAATCAAAATGAACAGCTGTTAAGGAAATAGCTAATAAATTTTTAAGACTGAACTATTTAACTGAAAATGAAAGTTACCCTGATATGTTATCCCACATAACTGCAAGAGATATATTTCCATTTCCATAGGTTAATTGAAATATGGATTAAAGGTCCTCCGAATTTTCATTGAAACGGATTTAATTTTGACTGGTTTATTGTTCATTGTCCACGTATCCCAGTGAATCCCAGTTGCAAGAAATCTACCCGTGTAGCGATGAATACCATTAAGATTTGCAAGGCCACACTGGTTGAACCACCATCCAGTTTTATCACTGAAGTTACTGCAGCTTTTTACAGGCTGTTCTTTAATAGTGCACATTGGCCTACATCCATCATTATCGACATCAAATGTGCTGAAAGGCATTGAATTCTGATTATCTTCTTTCCTGTATCCTCTAAATGCGTCACCTAAGTAAAATAGATAAAATAGAATAACAATAAAAGAGTTATTTTTACAAAAAGACAGTTCTTATTGCATACCTTGCAAACTTTTCCTCTGAATTATTAGGAAGCTAGATTTCTCAAAGGCTGTTCAAGACAGCACCAAATAGTTTCTCATGTGTTGAAGATACAGGAAAGAAAAGGGGACCTCTGGAGATTCACCTAGTCCAAACCCCACACTCAAGCAGCGTCACCTAGACCATGCTGCCCAGGATCACGTCCAGTTGGCTTCTGGATATCTTCAAGGAAGGAGACTCCACAGCCTTTCTTGACAACATATTCCAGTGCTCAGTAGAGACATTTTTCCTTATATTCAGCCAGAGGTTCCTGTAGGATCACCCTTGATTCTTCCCTTCTCCAAACTGAACAGGCCCAGCTCTCTCAGCCTTTCCTCTATGAGGAATGCTCCATTCCCTTCATCACCTTCATAGCCCTTCACTGGGCTTGCTCCAGTAGCTCCATCTCTCTCTTGTACTGGACACAGTATTCCAGGATCACCTGCCTCGACTGCTGGCAATGCTCCTCCTAATGCAGCCCACGATACCATCTGCTTTCTTGGCCACAAGGGCTTGTTGTCTACCAGGACCCCCAGGTCCTTCTTTGCAGAATTGCTTTGCTGTAGGTCAGGCCTCTGTCCGTCCTGGTGCATGGAGTTATTCCTCCCTAGAGGCAGGACTGCTCTTACCCTCAGTGAACTTCATGGGCATTCTCTGCCCATCTCTCCAGCCTGGTGAGGTCCCTCTGAAGGGCAGCACAGCTCTCTGGGGGTTTCAGCCATGTTTCTCAGTTTTGAATCATCAGCAAACATGCTGAGGTGCACTCTGCCCCTTCATCGAGGCCATTGAGGAATAAATTGAACAGGATCAGACCCAGTACTGACTCCTGGGGTCACCGCTAGCTACAGCCCTCCAACAAGACTCACTACATCATTAATTGTTTACCTGAATAAGCAGTCATTGTACACATAAATACCATATAAAGAGAAAAAAAAAACAGAGTAGAAACTGTCATTTTGAAAAATATTTAAGTAAACACTACTTTCTGAGTGCTTTTTATTTCACTTAATACTAAGAAGGTGGATCTTACCAGCATTTCCTGAATAACGCCCTAAATGGATTTTAAAGGAACATGCTTCATCTTCTATCCAAAATCCATCATATGATGCATAAGCATGCTTTTCATTTTCAGATTCCAAATCCACATGAAGGCTGAAACTAGTTGCTTTTTGATTTACTATATGAAAAATCTTCCTCAGTCCAAGCCAAAATTCCCCTGAAACAGAAATATTAAGTATATAGTCAACAAACTCCTAGAAAAAGAATTTGTGAAATAAAATAGTTTCTTCTAGTTTTCCTATTTTATTTCCTGAACAGAGTGCAATATAACTTGTATGACAGGCACAGAGTTCTTTGAAATGTTAATGAAGTTTGTAAAGAGAGATGTCCCTCTTCACTAGTAAAATCCGCAGACAGAATTCTCATGCATGCACCGTCTCATGTGCACACCAGTTGTTTGCTTTCATTGCAATCCCAGATAAACTCCTGAAAAAGCAAGTGTCTTTGGATTTGCTGGATGAAATATGGCAGTGAAAAATTAATGCCACAGTCATCTTCTTATTGGCTACAGAGATAATTGTTTATAGCATTGTAACACCTGTAGTGCAATAGCACTGATCTGTTCTGTTTAAAGAAAATATTTTGCAAGTGTTATCAAAACCAACCAGGGCTTTTTTAAATCTGAAAAAAAAAAATGCGGGCAATATAATTTCTCAATTATTTCAGAAAGAAAAGATTGGAACCTTTTTAACGTGCCTATGAGAAACAGGCTTGGGCTGGGGCATGGCTAAAGATTCCACTAGGCTAATAATAATTATTGAGGAGATCAAGAAATTGATTTGGTGAGAAAGAGACTCTAAGTATAAATAAAAGACTTCTTAAGAAACAGGAACTTTACTCTCTAGTCTCTGAAATACTAAAAATCTAACACAATCTAGTGGAAATGTAGCTCATATACAGACAGTAGAATCCTTGGGTTCAAAAGCCTTTAGAATATTTAAAAGTAATACCAGATAGGTCACCAAATCCATCCAGGTATTCAGACCATGTTCTCTGAAATTCAATGATTCCATCAGTTCTTTTTTGAATCACAGTCCATCCACCTCCTTGAAAATCCATGTCACACAAAACCTACGGTGGACACACATAAGATTACAGCATTCTTGAAGCAGTTGTAATAAAAAATAACTTTTTAAATAAAAAAGTCGATTATTCAGGCTTTTGCTGAGCAATATTTCTTTCAAATAATTTAACAAAAAGAAAAAAAAAGACTAAAGGAAAGTAATTGAACTATGAAGCCGCATTATTTTCTTATATGTTCTGTTAGCCTGAGTTGGAGATTTCCTCAACCAAGACAGAGTTGCAGTGTGATGCACAGTGTGATATCACAACCCGGGGAATCCTGGACCCTCAAGTAATGATGATAGAAAGGATCATGTGCATGAAAGAACAACTAAAGGTGATGGGCTTTACTTGCAGGAGAAGCACATGGTAGTTGGTAGTTTCAGTTACCCAAGAAGGGTGGAAATGGAATAAAAAAAAATACATATGATTTCAAAATCAGTAGATACAGATACCTAAAACACTTTAAAAGCAATTCCATTTCCTCATCACTGTCTTGAGAAGATGACTGCAAGCTTGGCTACTCTTCTCAATGTGAATAAGAAATACAAACAAGCGCCAGTTGGGTCACAAAATCCAACTCTCATCCCATATAAATCAATGGGAGGGTTGATATCTCTTGAAAGAATCAGATTTGGCTGCACATGAAAGATTATCAGCCAATTACTTTGATATGGCATCTAAACTTACAGCAGCCAAGAAAGAATATTAGAAGTTATGTCAGAATAGTTGTTGATGTACAGTTTCTTAATCTTAATATGCTGGGAATTATGCAATCGTTTTCTCTCTGAAAGACTTTATTATATTTTATAATATTTTATCAACTTCACAGCTTGTTGTATATCCCATGTCATGCAAAATACAAGGGGTGTGAGTGCCAGGTACAATGGTTTTCTTTCTGAAAGACTTTATTATATCTTATCATATTTTATCAACTTTACAGCTTGTTGTATATCCCATATCATGCAAAGTACAAGGGGTGTGAGTGCCAGGTACAATTTAAAGGAAATGGGCACAAAGATGTCTCTACTGAATATTTCTTCCCTTTCCATCTTTTAGTGTGCATTAAGAAGCAAATTTCCAAACAATTGTTATGATTTATATTTACTCATCATGAATGTAACAGAAAGTGACCAGAGTTCAGTTTTCCAGGAGAGAAATTGTTCTTAATTGCCTCATGTTTGAATGCTCACTCAGAAGCCTGTTTGGGACTCAATTTTTCTGAGTTGATGAGAACCTGCAACTCTGGCTGAAACTGGCTATTCTTAGAGCTCCTGGAATTATGCTTTAAATTAGCTCAAGTTAGGCATCCAAATCTGAGCTCACTTTTGAAAACACAAGCGTTAAAGTATGAAAACAGGAAGACAGGATCAAATTTTCTAAATAGTTGTCTTCATTCATCTAATACCTTTATGCAAATATTTCTAGAGGCTGAAAATTTTGTTTCAGTTACATGTAAGGGGAAGGTAACTTCTTGCTGTTTACTTATTGAAATAGATTATTTCATGCTGGCCTTCTTTTCTGTTTGTTTTATACTCCTCCTACAGTATTCTGCCTCTGTGGATACTTGTTATTCAGTTAGTTTTCCTTTTTTCCAGAGCTCTTGGCTATCAGCTCCTTAAAATGCATTATGATTTATTGTTTGTGTATTCGTGTCTTGATTCTTTTCTTCATCTACCATTTTTCTTCTGGTCTTTTTTATGCTTCAACACACATAAGGATTTGTACTGAAGTTTTCTTAAAATAACATTCTTTATGGAACATACGTCTTTTAGATTTTTTTGTCTGAGAACTTTTTGGCATTGCTTTTTCAGTTCTGTATAATATCTGTTAGACAAGAAGTGAGATGCTTTTATGCATGCACAAGTTTCTTCTCATTATTTATTGTTGCTCTATGCTTTTAATCAAATTATTATGACTTTTCCATTTGTTTCTTTTTCTCTTTAAGGAACATTTCCACTCATATAACCGATTCCCAGTTCTCTAGACAAAGGCAGTAACTTTAAATGAGAAAAAGTGTCAAAAATACTTTTGAAGTGAAATGAACCCTATCACTTCAGATATGTCTGGACCAAGTGGATCAAGAAATAAGTGGACCAAGTGGACCAAGAAATAACTTTTTGCATAGATGTTAAGTCAGACTGTCTCTCAGCAAAAGTAACTTGTATAAGGTATGAACATTTCCTCAATAGCTCCTCCCTCTCTATTACAGACAAGTTCCTCAATCCAGAAACAAATGCATTTTGTACTAAGGTTCAGCTGGAGGTGAGGCAGGCAGCATTTCTTCACACTGGTAATATAATTGCTCTGTGGATGCTTCTATCAGTCTTTGCCTCTCCTTTACCTTAAAGGAAGATACAGATGACTTAGAGATCTTTCCCCAAACTGCCTATATTGTGCAAACAGGCTGAGAGAGTCTGCTGTTGGGGGACTGCAGAATGGAGCTCTTTTTTCTTTTCAGGTGCTAACATACTTTTGAAACCTCCTCATAGCAAATTCAAGCTTTTTTTTTTTGTAGTATTTTGTAGTGTTCCACCTGGCTAGGGATGAAGAGATTCATCCTTTGTTACATATAAAGAAAAACTATAATGCTAGTTCATTTCTCCAAATTTCCTGGCAGAAACTGGGAAAGTCTTCAAAATTATAAGACCACACATATATAGATGATGATACACTCATTCAGCTGTGGAGAAATAGTCAAGGAAAATATTTTAGATATTTTAGATTTTATATTTTATATATATATAATTTCATTATATATAATAAATATATTATGAAGCAAATTTTTACTATTATGTGAGATAACTTTATTACCTCAAAAGGATGATTTGATCCTTCTGGGTGGATAATGTACAGACCACTTGGAGTTTTTGAAACTGAACCTACAGTATCTTTAATGTCAGTGCAATCCAGTCCTGAAGAACAAAGTATTTGAGGAATTTTGTTAGCAAAATATTTGGAAAAGAAAGAAAATACAGGTTAAGTACAGAAAGAATAAATTTTTGGGGAATGCATGAATGATTTCAAACTACAATTTGTTGCCACAAATATTTTATAATCTTATTTTCTCATGAGTTTACCTTATAAATAAAAATTCTCTCTACTCCATTAAACAAGAAGCATAAATAGGAATTGATATAAAGAAAGTTCTCTCTAATATTAACTGATGCTAAATAGTACATAAAGACTATAAAAGACTGTCTTATTTTATAGATCTTATTCCTATTTGGGTAACAATCTTACTGAGCAAGAAGACATTTAATCTGCAGAAGGGTGATTGCATCTTGAGAATATTCATCTTTAAAGTTATAACAGCGTTTATATCATGTGTACATATAAGCAACCCTTTGCTTCCACGTGTTAAGTCAGATCCCCATTAAACATGTTCAAGCAAGCAGTTTTTAATGCCAATAGGGTTGCCTAGAGATAACATTTCCTTTAACTGCGATGGACACTGCAAAGATTAACTGAAAGATGGCTCAGCATACAGGTTAGTTCCACTCCATTTAAAAAGGATTTTGCAAATGCTGAGTACACTTTAATTCATTACAAAAGAAAGTAGTATTTGGAAATATCAGACCACTTATGATCATATTAGGTATTTTGGATAAAAATCAACAGGTTGATAAACAGAATGTGTAGAATCATTAATTTGCCTATGATTTAAAGTACAATTTTCGATGAGATTTTTAAACAGTTTATGAAAAGTTTGTGTGTGCATGCTAAAACACAACAAATGCTGTAAATGATATCAATGCTTAACCTTTGCTTTTAATTATTCTTTCTCAGGATATTCACAAGATAAAAAGCAAAAATATCCAGACTAAATTTGAAAATAAAACTTACCATGGGATTGAACTGTTTTGTAAGGAAGTGTATCTAAATGCTTTCTTAAAACTTCCGTGTTCAAAACAAGTAATCTGTTCATGAGCTCATTCACCTGCAAGGTCAAATAATAGATCTTTATATAGACTGCAATGAGAAATTCTGAATTCTAAGGATTTTACTCTTTGATTCCTAGATACTTTGCAGTTCATTTTTGTGATGTGTTAGTGACTCATAACTTTATTATATGAATGGATCTGAGGTTTTTTTTTCATGCACCGTTTTTAGGCACAATCCAATTTAATTCAGAAAAATCCTTGTTTGATTAAGTTTTTATCTTTGCTAAGTGAATGCACAGTAATTGTGAAAGACTATCAAATTTAATGGCAATATAATACATGTCATTTACACAAATAGAACAGGATTATATACAGCAAACGATGTGGAGGAATGGGCTGCCACTTGTTTTATTGTCATGCGTGCTACCAGATTATGTACTAGCTGGTGCTAGTCACTCCTTGTAGAAACCACACTCGTACCCTATCTAGAGTACCTAGAGTACATAGGATAGTAATAGATGTCCTAATTCTGCTGTTTCAATAACACTATAAATACTTAATTTTCTCCAGTTAGACAGTATCTGTAGTGGTAAATTAATACAAATTTGTATGATAAATAGAAAAAATGTACCTGATTAGAAAGGTAATCCAAAGAAGACTGTTGATCATCCATCATATTTCTTATCATTTTTTTTGTACTTCTTGCATATTCAACAAGAGAATTCTGCAAATTTCCTTTAAAAGAAATATGTTCATCCACTTGTTAACATAAATTTAGAAGCATTCCATATTGAATAAGTGGCATACTTATTTATGATGTCTAAGATAATACTAAACATGCTTAACTTCAGGATGCCTAAAGTGAGACCCAAGTAGCACAGAGACCACAAATTAAATCCAAAGATGCTTGGAACCTCAGACTCACTGGTTGCAGTGAAGACGATGATTCTTCTGAAGGTTTCTCTCTACAAAGGAGAATTTTGCCTTATCCTTGGGCTACTTGGATAATCAGTAAATAGATACTATAAAAATACAAATGCAAGTGATAAGAGAGAGAAAGGTTTTCTTTCATCCTACCTTTCAATAATTTGCTTCACTAAATACTCACAGTCCTGGACTCTGCCCTGATGCTAAAAATACAAAAAGTAAGCTTTACAGGTAATTAATAATACACATTAGAAAGTATATTGTAAAGACAAGACTTTTGATAAAATACTCTGAGTCTGTTTACATCAATTGCTGGGTAGTTTGTCAAGGCAGTGACTAGAGAATATTAACACATCATATTAACATTCAATAGGCATCTGTAAAGGGCAGGCTGAACTATAGATTTCCTCCCACTTAATTTCAAGCATCTATCTATGATGCCTAAATGAGGGGCAGACAGCCTGCCCCTCCTCTCCAATGGAGAGAGCTACAGACATTTCGAGGACAACAGGGACCTAGGTGGGCTGAGCTGCTGCTTGCATTTGCCTCCTAAGATTATAAAGAGAGACTAGCATGACTATACTTTGCTTTTATCACCTCAGCTGCCTATATTGTACTGTTCTTGTGGCCAATACTCATCCTGAGCAGCTAGGTCAAAGGCTGTCACATGTGCTCAGGAGGATTAAAAAGGGAATTAGCACAGCATAGCATAGCATAGCAAAGGATTACACAGCGTGGCATTGCGTAGCTTGTCGTTGAGAGTATTCTTTATGAATACATACTGCACATGTAATGTTTTTCCCCTCGTAAAATTTTAGCTTGAACATCACATGGTACAAGGCATTGTTCTTTTTGATTTGAAATATCTGCAGATTTATTTTTCTCTTCTGCCTTGAGCGCTTCTTCCATAGCTCCAACATTCCTTGTGCCCTGTTGTACCAAACAATGGAGGGGGAAATAAATCGGTCATAAAACATAAATAAAATTGCTCAATCTGCCAAAACAAAGCAGATTACTCCACGGGTCTTCTTTCAAAACCCTTTATACTAAAAAGAAAAAACTTTATAAGCAATAATTGACCGAGCTGAGATTATGCAGCTGCAGGACTGAGTCCTGTTAGATGTCTTCTCCTTAGTCACAACTCTCAAGAGCATGTCAGAGGTAAAGTGTAACCTCTGCAACCTCTGTAAGTTTTAAAAATATTGCTGACATTTCTGGTAAGGTATTCTACTGTGAGAACTGTAAGCTGGAGGCCTCACATGCAAACACTTTGTAGTTAGGAAGCTCACACTTTAGGTAATACCCTACCCAACAGACATCTCAAATGCTAACAAAGTTATTTTCACTGGAAAGGAGCAGGTTTCTGCACTAATACGTATTTCCAGTTCCGCTGGAAATATTTGCACCTGCTTTTAATCTATGCACACAAGTCCTCCCGAGCAGACTTGCAGACAAACTGACATTTAAAAAATATCTTAAATGCTTTTGAGACATTATTCATAGGGATGCTATGACATGAAATGGTAATAATAAAATAGTGGTATATGTAGTTTCAAACCACTACACCTCTTAATGTTGTTTTAAAATAGTATTTTCATTTTTAAAATATTTTTCTTCCACCATGATATGTGACAAACCTGGGAAAGAAATAAGGAAATGTCCTTGAGTCATCACATAATCAAATGCTAAACGTAATTCCTGAAATATGTGTCATTGTAGAAAATGTTATGAAACATGTTTTGAGTTTTTTAATTACATAATTTCACCAAAGTACCACACACAGTGTGTACACAATATTTTTTAATGTAAACAGGACCTTTGTAAACAAAGATGTTCATGAAAAAGGGAAATTATTTAGACTTGATTGTATCTTTAACATACTTGCTAGGGGAGGAAGTATGAGAACATACTTGTTCTCATTTCCTCCTTCAGATTCCTCCTTCTGGTATTGGCATTACATTGGCACAGCACTGAACAGTTCTTTCTTGATTTTTGCTTTTAAATAGTGAAAGTAATGTTAACAAGGATACTTAAAAAAAATAGTTATTAATTTAGTTGCCCCTTGTTTTGCAAATAAATGCTAAAGCATTTAAAGAGTCTGTGTTCTAAGTTTGAAATAAACACAATGTAGAGGAAAAAAAAACCCTGTAAATTATGAATAAACTACCTGAAACTTATAAATAGATTACTTGAAATTAAGTTTTGTTCCAGGGCTATCTCACAGCTACTCATCAGATGTTCAATTAATTACTGTCAAGCAAATGTTTTCAATCAATGCTTACATTTTTAAAAGGAGCCGACACGAGGCAGACAATTAGACCTGACCTTAGCAATACAAGTAAAAAGTGTCTTTGGCACTGCCAAAGACAACCGAGTAGCTCTGCACTTGCACTGATGCAGGTGAGATAAGCATACAGCCCAGCAACTGAGCTGAGAGTGAAGCACATTAAGGCAAAAATGTTCTGCTCCTGGCATTGCTGCAATTCCAGCGCAGCTTTTTCTATCTGGAAATACCTAGTTCTTCTATATTTTCATCTCCGTTCTGAGTAAAGCAACCTAGATTTTGGAAACACCTGCCTCTGTTCTGAGAAAACACTCATTATGCTCCTCATCTTGGTGAGCAATATAACTGAAAATCTTACCTTAGAAGAACAAGGCTTGACATTACTTATCACAGCCTCTGCCCAGCTGAACAAAAAGATACCGAGACAAATTAACGCGGTTTCCCTGCGGTGGAGCATCTTTCAGTTGAAGCAGTGCAAACGCTTTGCTGGGTGGTTTTGCAGTTCAGTGGAAACGCGGTGCAGCCCTGAGCTCAGCACCGGGGAATGCGAGATCCCGGGAGCCGCCAGCACGTCGCTCCTGCACCGCCTGTGCTCCGCAAACGCATTCCAAGGCACAGCAGCCCTTACACTGCTCTGCTCTTAACCCAGAATAAACCACTGCTTGTTATCTTTACATGACTCATCAAGCATATACACATTTTTCTTGTAATAAGACTGTGATAGATCTTGCTGTGTGCCCCCCGCGCCTCCCTAACAGTGGGGGCAAATCCAGCATAAGCCTAAAAAAAATTCCAGATATAAACCTGAAAAATATAATTTAAATATTACTTTTTCTTCTTCTTTCTACACACAGAAATAAGAAGAGGAGCCAAATGTTAGGAAAGAGAGGCTACAAAAGGTCAGAACTTTGCCTGAGCCCCGTATCCCTCCTCACCCCATGCAGTGGCCTTCAGTTAACCTGAGGCTTGGAGGAAAGAAGGATCTGAGGTAAAGAGCTACAGCAGATTCATCTCTGCTGTAACAAAGAGGAAGGAAAATGTGTTTCTGCAGCAGCATAGCTATGCTTCAGCTCTTAAGATTTGTAGTCAAGTCCAAATCTATCTCACAAGATACTCTGCTACAATCCCACTTGGGTGGATCAGTTCATGGCACCCATAAAGCCTTTCCTGTGTCTAAAATGAAGCAGTGGAAAAGCAGTTGGATTTAAGTTTATGCAGGTTGAAAAGAACATAAAAAGTACTAGCTAGAGGAAAAAGAGGCAGCAACTATTCTTCTAGCTGTGACACTGTAAACTGAATTGAGGCTGGGTGGAGAAAAGAATTTGGGGCTAGTATTCTGGACTAGAGAAAATAAACCTCCATTGCAGGATTTTCTTCGCAACTATGAAACTGGTAGGTTATAAATACAAAGCATGTTTCATAATCTGAGCCTCAGTGGTCTTGTCTGTAAAAAGGTGGTAGCAACGTCTGTCTCACATGCAGCATTACAAACACTTGCTGGGGGGCTATGATAAAAGTGCGTTGCAAACGTCAGATAATATTTTTATCCACTGGAAGACACTGAACAGCTGCTCACTGAGACAAGAATTAGCTTAAACACAACAACCAAGAAACATTTCACCAGGAAATCACCAGGGCATTTAGCTTTGTGCTGACAGCTCATCCCAGGCATGGCAATATCCCAGGACAACACACCCTGCTTTGCCTGACCAAACGAAAAAAGAAAGAGGCAGTTTTTTACTCTTTCAGGAAAAAAAAAACACTTTTTCTTTTTTTACTTTGTGTAATTTTTAAAAAACTTATTTTCACATGCATACTTTATTTTTTATTGCTACTCTTTTTAATGCTGTTAATTACATGAAACAGCCTTAATGGATTTAAGTCGCACCCATCAAAGAGCCCTGAAAACCCACAGTTGGCAACGGGGCCACAAAAGGCTCTCAGTTGTCCTGCAAAACTACTCAGGGACGTGTTAGTTATGACACTTGTTTATTTTAAAAATAAAAATACATAATAATAATAATCCTACTGCTCGTGAAGAGAGCGCAGA